GCCCTGCCCTTTTTCCCTATATAAGCTGTGCCGCCCTGCAAATAAACGGAGTTCCGGCTTTGACCACTCTCCTGGCTCGGTGGTGTTCTTTCTCGGCCCCCGGGGAGGAAGGTCCTGGGGGGGAAGGGCCGTGCCAGCGACACTCATCATCCCGCTCAGCCCCACAAGGGACCCCCGGCTGGACCGGGGTCTCTTCCCGCTCGGTTTTGTCGGCCTCTGGCTCAGGGAGGCCCGACACATAAGATTATAGGTGTGTAGACTACACACCATCTGGATGTGTGTGAGTGCACTCGATGATTGCACAACGACATTGTCTAATGACACAATTTTCAGGACTCATCACCGTTAAGTGACGTGTGACTGTTTTCCGCCCTCATGCTTATCTAGTACATTGCTATTTACATTGCAAAACTTTATATACAGATTTATATTATATATATATTAATATGGGAATGTAAGATGACATTTCTGTGATTTGAACATTCAGCTTTTGATTTCCATTATATTTTGCTACCATGTGGTTTTTGAGGTTCGCTTGATATATCATATTTGTCATTCCCTTTTCTGTAGGCTTTCAACAGACCTCACATCTCTCTTCTTATGAAATTATAACTCCTTGGAGATTGACTAGAGAACAAAGAGAAGCCCCTAGGCCCTATTCAAAACAGGTAAGTTATCTGTTGAGAAATATATATATGTGTGTGCGTGTGTGTGTGTATGTGTGTGTGTGTATTTAAATTTTACTTTTTTTTTTAATACAAAGGTATTTATTTGTGGCAGTGATTGGTTCAGGGATTAATTAGTTGGCCATTCATTAATATAGCACCATTATGGTACTGATGTCCCTTGGACACTATTCTGGTAAAAGCAACGAATTAAATCTTAGTATCCTTTTTTAAAGACAAAATGATATATTTGAAACGTAACAGAATGAAATAGTTAAATGGGATTCTATGACCAGAATAGGTGCTGATTACATAGATTTCTAAACCTTAACTGTCAGTGGTCACAGTGGTTTTATGATAATACTAATTAACCTCACTCAGTTTGCGGTAGGTAGAGTACTTCATACTGTATCTTCACTGACAGTGGAGAATAGTAATGTGTTATATGCGTATTTTCATATCTGGGAATATTTTCTAAAACAATGAGTTTTATTCCCATGCTGGAAGAAACCTGTGTTAATGGGGTAACCAATCCACAAAAATTATTTTTTCTGCTCTTTCTCTTATAGTATAGTTTGTTCAAAAATAAAATACCTGGACTTCAACTGATTTTGCAAACCCTTCAACTTTATAGAAGTATAATTTGATAATGATAGATAATGAGGGATAGAATTTAACTTATTACCTCTGAATTGCTGATATTCTTATAAATGTAAGGCAGCTTGCATGTTGTTTAGGGACTGGGCATAGTAAAAAGAACAGTGGAGTTTAGAATCAGGGGCTTTTAGTTATAATCCTCTCTCTGGATACTACCAATGATTGGGTTGGCCATTCAATTCCATTTACAGTAGTTCCCCCTTATTCGCGATTTTGTTGTCTGTAGTTTTAGTTACCCACGGCTAACTGTGGTCCAAATCATATTGTATTAGTCTGTTTAGGTTGCTTATAACAAAATACTTGGAACTGGGCGATTTATAAAGTAAAACGAAATTTATTGCTTACAGTTTCTGAGGCTGGAAGTCCAAAGGCCATCTGGTGGTGGTGACAGTGACCTGGGGGTCTCACATTACAAGATGATAGAAGCAGATAGGGCAAAGAGAGAAAGACAGACTCTCCCTTTCTTTTAAGGCCCTTCGAACCATGCCCTTTACCACCATTTTTAATCCATTCACTAGTGCACAGTCCTACAATCCAGTCACGTCTTCAAGGCTCCACCTTTCAATTACCATAATAGGATTTCCCACCCTCTTAAGAGTCACAGTGGGGGCCAAGTTTCTAATACATAAAACTTGGGGGATACAATTCAAGCTTCACTGAGTTTTGGGGGCCATAATTCAATCCACTACAATCCACCCCTGGCCCCCCAAAACTCATTTCATTTTCACATACAAATACATTTATTCCACCCCCAAAGTCTTAATTTGTTTCAATTGAAAAGTCCAAAGTTCAGAGTCCCACCTGTGAAATTCAAAAGAAGTTATCAACTTCCAAGATACAATGGTGGGAAAAACATAGGTTATACATTCCAATTCCAAAAGAGAGAAATAGGCCAAAAGAAGGGTGTAACAGGTCTCAAACAAGTCCGAAACCCAGCAGGGCAGACACTAAATCTCAAAGCTGGTGAATCTTGGAACTTGACTCCATGTTCTATGTCCTCTGCATGCTGGTGTGGGGGTTGGGTCCCCACTCCTTGGGCAGCTCTGCTCCTATGGCTTTCCTGGTCTCAGGTGATGCTTTAGCTCTCGCAGGCTGGCATTACATGCTGGTAACTCCACAGGTCTGGGGTCTGCATGGCGGTCTTGCTCTCAGGGCTTCACTAGGCACGGAGCCGATGGGGTTTCTCTGCTGCAACTCCGACTCATGTTTCCACTCAGCATTGCTCTAGCGAAGGTTGTCTGCTGTGACTCCACCCCTGCGACAGATCACTTCTTGGGTCCCCAGACTTTTCCATACATCCTCTGAAGTTGGGGTGGAGGCTCCCAAGCCTCCACAGCTCTAACATTCTGCAAGCCTGCATACCTAACATCACGTGGATGCCACCAAGGTTTCCAGCTTGTATTTTCCAAAGCTGCATGTCCAGCCACACCTGGGGCCAGTTTACCCAGAGCTGGAGTAGCCAGAGCAGCTGGGGTGCTGGTGCTGAAAGAAACTTCCCAAGGTGGTCCTGGGCAGTGAGCCTGTGGAGGGCTCCTCAAGCCTGTTCCCCAAGCCTGTCTCCCTAGATCTTTGGGCCAGAAATGGAAGAGTTGGCCCCAGAGGTTTCTGCAATGCCTTCAGGGCCTTTTTTATCCTTCTCTTGATAATCCCTTTTTTTTTGTACTAATCTTCTTAGCTAATGGTTGCTGGGCTGCACCATTGAATTCTCTCTGTTTCTCTACCATGTGGCCAGGCTGCAAATTTTCCAAATCTTTATGCTCTGCTTCCCTTTTAAATTCTGGCTTTACATCGTGCCTTTGCCCCCATAACTCGGCATAGGCTGTTTTAAGTAACCATGCAGCTTCCTTAATGCTTTGCTGCTTAGAAATTTCTTCCACCAAATACTCTGGCTCACAATTCTTAAATTCCAACTTCCACAAAGTCCTAGGGCATGGATACAATTCAGCTAAGCTCCTTGCCAGTTCATAGCAAGGTTGATCTTTGTCCCAGATTCCAATAAACTCCTTCTCATTTTGATCTGAGACCACCTTAGAATGGTCTTTACAGTCCATATTTCTATCAGCATTCTGCTAGCCACCATGTAACCAGTCTCTAAGACATTCCAAACTTTCTCTCATGTTTTTGTCTTCTTCTGAGTCCTCCAGACTCCTCAGACCTTTGACGTAATTCCAAAGCTACTTCCACATTTTCAAGTATTTGTTATAAGCAACAACCTACTTCCCTGGTACCAATTTTCTGTATTAGTCTGTTTCTATTGCTTATAACAAAATAGCTGGAACTGGGTGATTTATAAAGAAAAACAAAATTTATTGCTTACAGTTTCTGAGGCTGGGAAGTTCAAAGTCCATCTGGTGGTGGCGACAGTGACCCAGGGGTCTCACATTACAAGATGGTGGAAGCAGAGAGAGAGAGAGAGAGAGAGACTCTCCTCTTCTTTTAAAGCCCTCAGAACCACACCCCTGACCACCATTTTTAATCCATTCACTACTGCATGGTCCTACAATCCAGTCACCTTTTCTTTTTTTTTTTCCTTTTTTGTCTTTTTTCGTGTCCGGCAACGGATCGCAACCC